GTAGGCACTGACACAGGAACATTTAAATTATGAGTGGTGGCGAATGGATGGCTAATACTGAGGGAGGTGTGTATTCCACTGAAGTAGTAGTTGATGATGATTTGAATTTAAATTCCAATATTTTTCTCTGTTTGACTTGTTTTTATTGAAATTAAAAATTTAAACTAAATTACAAAACTCCAGTTGAGTAGCTAGCAGGTGTCACATAGAGAAGATAGTTTCTGTATTTTAGTGTTTCCATTCCACACTTGTACTGAAAACAGCCATTGGAATTTTAATAGTCTTCATATTTGGGCTCTCTTTTACTTTGTGTTATCTGGTTTTGATAACCTGTTAGAATTAGTGGTTTTATATTTTATCATAGTTAATATATTAAGAATATTTTATATCAATAGGAGTCATATTTCTAGTGTTTTGCTTTTAAGTTTTACTCATTATTTACTACATGTAAACTAAGTATACAGACTGTGTCATCTTAGTGACATTGTGTGTAGTCTCCTGCGCACTTGGTGATGCTTTGATTTTCTTCTCACATTATCCTCTTTTCTTCCATAATTTGGCCTTTCTAATTTTGTATTTTCTTGAAATTTATACATTTTTATGTATTTTGGTCTGATTCTTTAATGTGATTCTGAAGATGATCCATGTGGTATTTTGTAGCAGTTTTGTTCACCTGCTGTTACATTTGTGTCTTGTTTCAAATTGTGAAGAACTGTCCTTTATTTTTTTTTCTTCATTTTGGATTCAGGACTTCTAGCCCTCGCTCTCCTCACACTCCCTGTGTAGCAGAAGGTGATGGTGACGGTCTTGGTCTTGTGCACGCAAAGCTCTCAGTTTACCAGACTAAGCTCATGCACAGCCCTCTTGTAATAGCTTCTTTAAATGTTTGTATGCGCGTGTATGGTATTTATGTGAGTGTGAGAAGGACGTGTTGATGGTAAAGCTGTGACAGCTTTCAGGAGTTGGAGAATGACTTCTGCATTGTTTCGAGAAGGGTTTTGGTTATTTCTGTTTTCTGCTAGCTATCTTGGGAGCTGCTTGGTTATGTCCTGTTTCTGTGTCCAGTTTCCCCATCCAAGTGCACTGGGATTACAGAAGTTTAATACAGTGTTACTGTATCCAGCTTTTGAAGGGGGGTTTGGGTGTCTGAACTCATCATTACATAGCTAATGCTTTACCTACTACACCAGTCCCCTATTCCATTTATTTACAGTTATGGAAGATTGCCATTCCCCATGACTCTGTAGTGTCACACAAGCATAAACCAGTGGCATGTGTGCTCACATGGACCATATAATGAACTAGTGTCACATTAGCATAAATTAGTGGTGTATTTATGTACATGTATCATATGATGGTCTAGGTTAACATTAATTAATTTTGTTTTTAAACATTAAAAACAGAAGCATCTATCTAAAAACATTCTGATTTTGTGTGAATATACTGATGGAATTATTTGTTTTGTGTTTTATTTGGTATTTGTAAGATTATTTTGCTATGTCATTAGGTTTTATAGCATGTCTTAGAAAAGCCTAGTATTGTCTTCAGATATCTACTTCTCTTCTGCCTCTATCACTCTACTTACACACCTGGTAGGCCTTTGCACTTCCCTTCAGTATTTTCTGCCCTCCTGTATGTTCAATCTGAGGATTTCCTTCTTAGCATGCTGGTAATAAATATTGATTTGGATTTTTTTCAGATTTGGAATTTTACTTACTCCTCAGAGCTGGAATTATAGACTTGTGTCACCATGCTCAATTTAGGATTTTCAGTTTCTTCTAAATAATTTTAACCTTAAAATTTCTGAGTTATCAGGCATAGCTACTTTTATTTATTACCATTCATATTTGTTAGTGTATTTGCCTTGCTCATCATGCATGTATGTATGAATATTCTCACTATAGTGACACTATAAGAATGCTCATTTTTACTCTATGGACATGTATGTGTATGTGCATGTGGGGGCCAGAGATTGGCAGCTGATGTTTTCCACTTCATTTACTAAAGCAAGGCCCCTTGCTCTCCAATTTTTCTTCTTTCTCTGTTAGCTTACCCTGAGGGTCCTGTCTTCACTTTCTGAGTTTTGAGATTATATCCTTCCAGGCTTTGATGTGGGTGCTGGGACCTCAAGCTGAGTCCTTTTACACTTGTGCAGCAGGCAGTTTATTGAGCTAACTCCTCAGGTTCTATTGGTGTGCACTCATCATGCAAGATAAGTAGGTTCATTGTAACATCATGGTATCATACATGTATGTTATATTTTGATTATATCCACCCCCAATAACCTCTGTCGCTCTTCAGTCACTCCACAGGTCCCGTTTCTCACTCCAAGTAGTATCACTACTTTTGTGGGGGTTTGGTTTTTAACTATAAAGTTTGCATGAGAGGAATTGCAATATTTATCTTTCTGAGTTTATATTATATATCTTCAGTCCAGTTCATTATCTTGTAGATGCCATGATTTCATTTAAAAATATTTTAAAGCATCGATTCATATGTGTTTATGCATGTGTACATGTGTATGTGTGGGAACACAGGTGCATGACATCCAGAAGAAAGGCAGAAATCAGTTCTCTTTGTCCACTGTGTAGATCCCAGGAATTGGACTCAGCAGTAAGCACTTTTACTCACTGAGCCATCTCAGTGGCCTCGTACTTTCATTCCTGTGATTGAATAGAACTCCTTTGTGCATATATGATACATTTCCTTTATCTGGTCATTTGTTGCTGGGCTGATTTCATTATGTTGGTTAATGTGTTTGTTACTGCAGTAAACATGGTATACAGATATGTCTGGGGTGTGCAGACATAGAATACCTTGTGTCTATCCCAGAAGTTTGGTATAGATGGATCATGTGATCATTCTTAGATTTTTTTTTGAGGAAACACCATACTGTTTGGCGTAGTACCTGTCTGTATTATTCACACCATACTAGCAGTAGATAAAGATCCCTATTCCTTGTAAGTATTTGCTTTTCATTAATGGCTAAGATACTGAACACCTTCTCTTAAGTTTATTGGCTATTTATGTTTCTTTTGAGAACTCTCGTCAATTCATTTGCCTATTTGTTGGTTGGATAATTTGTTCTTTTGATAACAAATTCAACGAGTTCTGTATTTTGGATAATAATTCCCTGTCAGCTGAGTAGCTGAGGGAGGTTTTCTCGCATTCTGGAATGCTCTCTCTTCATCCTCTGCTCCTCTGCTGTGCAGAGACGTGGTCTGTTGCAGTCTCTTTGTCAGTTCTTGCCCTTGTGTCCCACGCTATTCAGAGTCACTTACTGTCCCTATAGAAGATTCAGCTATATTACATGCTTGATCCATTTTAAGTTGGTTTTTGTGTAGCATGGAAGATAGAGGCTTAGCTTATCCTGTAACACAGATTCCCAACTTCTTATCACTGCCTTTCCTCTGATGTACACTAGTAAGCACCTCTGTCATGAATGAATTATTTCAGGGTCCTCTGTTTTCTCACTGGTTTACATGTGGGTTTATGTGTTACTGTCAAGACGTAATTATCTTAATATCCAGTTTGAAGCTTTATTTTTTAAATATCCTAGGGATCTGCTTTTTTGACTGCTATTTCTGTTTGCTCTAGATGATCTAGTTTATTTTCTAGTACAACTGATTTTTTAATTGAATGCCAGATATTGCATATGAAAAATTATAGAGAATTTAAGATCTAACATGATGTTACCTTTACTCCTGGAGAAGTTATTTCCTCATCACAGAGGTGCAAAATAATTGAAAAGTCTATATTGTCTTACTACTAATGAAAATTGAGAAACTCTCTAATTCAGGTCACTGCTGATCTACTCAAGATCAGTTCACACTGCTGATCTACTTGAGTTCACACTGCTGGTCTACTTGAGTTCACACTGCTGGTCTACTTGAGTTCAGTTCACACTGCTGGTCTTCTTGAGTTCAGTTTGCACTGCTGATCTGTTTGAGATCAGTTCACTCTGCTGGTCTCCTTGAGTTCAGTTTTACCAGGGTTGATCTTGCCTTAACAGTAGCTCCTCCTCAGCTCTCAGTTTGTTACTCCTCAACTTCAGTGATTTTTTTTTCCATGTATAATTTCCCCTTTGTGTCATCTTCCTCTTGAGGATTGACCAAATCTTGCAGGGACAGAGACAATTCTCAAAATTATACCTCTTTGGATTTTCAATGTGTCTTACAATCATTACCCCATGCTTCGTTATTCCCTTAGCTCTTGTCCATCATTTCAGATAGGTGTTTGTGTTTAAAACAGAATCGATTGTTGCCTAGTTCATTATGTTTTAACAAGTTATTGTGACATTTTTTAATACTGAATTATCTTTAAAATATTATTTAAAACTCTGCAGTTTCTTTGGAGATCATCAGACATGTTTTACTTGTATGTAGTTTCTTAGCATGGAGCTGGATATATATTCTTGATGGAAAGGTTCAAGGCATATGAAACGATGGCAGCTAAAATTGATGCAGGTGTTGCCATGGAACTATGTTTGGTTATGGTAGTTTCCAGGGAAAGTTGGCTGTCAGGCAAGTTTCTGGAGTTCAGTATTATTTTGTCCATCTGTCTCTTCTAAGGGCAGGAAGGAAATGATAGCTCATGTGTAAGTAGCTATACCTACAAACATTTACATTTCCCGAATTTGCTTACATTTCTTTGCTTTTCTAAAGTTATTTAACCTCACTTAGCCTTTTAAAATCCTTTCTCTTAATAGGAGAGTATTTCCCGAATCCACTGATGAGTAAGGCCTTAATTGACTTAGACATGCTTTTTCAGATGATGCACTAACTTGGGATTTTCATGTAGATATCAGAAATAGTTCTCTGTTCATCTTTTCAGAGTCAAGAAATGATACCTGTTGGTTGGCAATTGTCTCTTTTTCTCCATTTTTTTTTCTTACTAACCAAAAAGTTTTCAACTAAAGTTATCAAGGATTCCATGCACTTCCAAGATAGGAATAACATTAACCCAAGGACTCAATTCTTTTCTGTCTTCACTGCTTACAGACAGGGAACACAGTCTCTTCAGCCTGGACCTGTGTCGAAGAATTTGGAGAAAATAAGCAGGTAAGAAAACATCTCTTAGGAATATTGTGGTATATTTCATTCCAAGAAAAACAGTTTTCAGCTAATCCTCTCTTGACCATGAGGAAATACCTAGAATTGTTTGATAAAACCGTGTGTGGTATTTTGTTTATAATAGTTTTACTAGCTAAAGACTCATTAAGGAAAAATTAAAGGTTAAATGGGTTTCCATATGTTATATATTTTCCAATCTTTGAATCTGACAATGTTCTGATATCTAAATTGAACCACTATGATTGTAAATAGTAGTTTGAATCAGATATAGTTAAGAGTAAATCTACATTTCAATTATCTAGTGTTTCTCAAACACTATGAATGAGACATTTTCTACATTATTATAGTAATATTTTGACTCTAAATTATTTTTAGAAAAATTCAGTTTGTTGTTTCCTCACCAGAGCACAATAAAGAGACCTGTTGGTGGGGGTGCAGTTTGAAGGCAGTTTATGATTTGCCAGGAACCCCTTTTATACATGTAAAGGGATCAGCCCATGTAATAATTCTGTGTCCTGAGTAGGTTACTTCAACAGCATGTGCCTTGATTCAACATTATCAAAGGGAGCAGTGAGAGAGCTTCAGCACTCAGAAGGGTTCTTTTGTTCCTGATCTTGTTTGGTCTTTTTTGGCGTGTACTAAGTGCTAGACTCATTAATGTCTATGAGATATATATTTATTATTCTTGACCCTTAAATCTTAGACTCTAAACTTATCCTTACAGATTTTAGCAAAACTAGCTGTAGGTCTTAATTCTTACATAAATTTCAAACACACAGTACTATTTTAGAGCCACCTTCTTTTAATCTCATGAATTTAAAGCTTGACTTAGAAAGAGTTATTGTGAGTACTGACTTACTGGCAAAACTGAAACCGGTGAAGAATTGTGTCTTTAGGTCTAAACCTTTCTCTTGAGTCTGGCCCAGATATATTTAGTGAGCTACAGTGTGGGACCTGTTCTGAAGCCTAGACTTACAGATCCCATCATGGTTCTTGTTCTGAAGGCTGTGTCCAGACAGCTTAGAAATTAGAATTAGAAGGAGTTCGTCTCTGAATGGTCAGCTAAGGAGCCAGCATGAACTAAGTCCTCTGCATCTGTGTGACAGTTGTGTAGCTTGGTCTTTTGTGGGGCCCCTAAGCTGTGGGACCAGAACCTGTCCCTAGTGCATAAGCTGGCTCATTGGAACCTATTCCCTGTGGTGGGATGTCTTGTTCAGCCTTGATGTAGCCACAGGGCGATTGGTAATGAAAAATCCCCAGACTATCTTGATACAAAATATACAGCTTTAATAAACAGAAGTAAGACTTACAACAGCTTACACCAGAATCCAAACGATCCATCTGGACGCAGGAGCCAGGCAAAAAAGAGAGCTAGGAGCGCGCTTGCTAGGTTTATAGGCAGGCTTTTGCCTGAGGGCGGCACGCCCCAAAAACAGAATATGATTTGCTGAACTCCCCTATCACGGGGAGGAGCTTGGTCGTGCCCCAACTTGATATGCCAGGTTTTGCTGATTCCCATCAGCAAAGTAAGAAAGAGGTCTTCCTTACTCTATCTGAATGGAGACAGAGAAGGAGTAGATGGGGGTGTAAAAGGGAGTTCAGGGAATGGGAGGAGAGAAAGGAGGAGAAACTGGTTGGTATGTAAAATAAAAAAATGGTGAATAATGAAAAAGATAAGTCTGTCATGATCTCAGTATGTAGGAGAAACTAGCAGTAGAAGGAGTCTGTTACTATGATCTCTTAGTACATAGGGAGCAATTGACATCTCACAATGTGGTTTGTTTGGGCTTCTTTCTTCTTCAAAAGGAAAGCAGCTGGAGTAACTTCAGCATTGTGGACACTGTCTTTATATCTGCTCCTCCTTTACTGTTTGCCTATATGCTGAATTTTGGTCTCTAGAGGGGTTTATTGTTGTTCATGTTTTCTTGTTATTTCCAAGTACCGGGGAAGTAGAGGCAAAGGGATTAGAATTAAGCTCATCCCTGGTACAAATTTAAGGATAACCTGAGATACGTGAGACACTAGGTTGGGGCAGGAACCGAGAGAGAGATCTCTATTAGAACATTCTCATGGTTGATCTCCCACCAATACAATTGAAATTACAAAATTTTTAGCACATAAGAAAATGTGCAGAGAGCTGCATGCACTGAGAAGAGGTACAGGCCACACCCAGGCTACTTAGAGAGTCGTGCCTTCCTTCGACTTGACCTTTGTGCTCCTGCCCTGTCGGAATGGAGGCCTTTGGAGATGCTTGCTTTCAAATATCCTGCTTAAGGTTTCTTAAAAACTTGAAACAATACCTTCCTACGAATCAGGAATCTGAAAATTTTAGCTTGTTCTGTACCCATATACCTGTGGACCTATGGGTCTGCCTTAACCTAAATCAGCTGTCTTTGTCATTCATATGAATTGGAGTCATCTGAATTAACACCTTGTAAAGGTTCAGTCCATTCTCTATTTTCAGTTTCGAATTAGATAGTAAAAAGTTTATTAGTATTAATAGTCAAAAGACAAAACCAATATTGATGAGCAAGAAGCTTACCATATTTGAACAAAGGTATTTCCATAGGTAATGCACACATTATTAGTCATAAAGGAATATAAATTAAAACCACAGTGGAATACATATGTACTGGCAAAGCTATAGTTAAAAATACTAGACCAGGTTTGGTGGTGCCTACCTGTTTTCACATTATCTAGGAGGAAAAAGTAGGAGAATCAGTGCAAACTTGAGACCAAAGTTTTCTACAAGATCAGCCAGAGTAAGACGTAGTATGCAACAACCTCCACCCAACCCCCCATGTGTGCACGTGCTGGCATACCAACTGTTGTGGAAGATGTGATGTAACCAACTGGCAATTTCATATTTTACTGTTGGAATACTCTAGAGCATACTATCTCTACCCCATGCCCTAGCAGTCCTATTCCTAGGTATTTACCTCAGAGAAAAAGAAAAAATTGTGAAAAGGTTTATGTAAGAATGAGCATAGAGCATATCTGTAAGAGATTTGTATTAGGAGAATCACATGTTCATCAACAGATGACTGCATAAAATCATAGTGTATTCATACAGCTGAGAAATACTTAACAATAAAATGGAAGAAAGTGCTGAAATAGAGAACTTGAATTTCAGAAATTATATTAAATAAAGAAGCTAGAATAACAAATATTTTAAAAATAACAAAATCCAAAACCAGATGAATGAATCCATGGTGGTAGAGTTAGAAAGTGATTGCAGACCGGAAGGAGACAGGTGACTTGATGACAGCCTCTGTGACTGTCAGATCCGATACATGAACGCAGTGTGTCTTTTACTGTCTGCAAATTGTGCTTCAGTTTTCACTATCAAGACAGCTGATTGCAGGGGTGTAAAATTTAAACTCTGAAATTGGCTCCCTCTCGTTCATTAATAAGGGGAAGGGGGTGTAGAGTTGAGTCTGGGACCCTGAAGATGCACTTGAAGAGGAATAACTGGGATGGGGTGGGGACAAGTATGGACATGCTTGGAATTTTAACTCATGTGTTAATTTTTTCTTTTTTCCGTTTTCTGTTTTCTATAATATGTTAATTGTGTCAAAGGAATATGCCCCTACTCCTACGTTTATTTAACTATATATTTTCAGTTTACATTTAATTTATGATCTTAACATGTGTTCTATTTTCTAATCAGCCATTTGTTTTCCTGAATGTTCTTAGATTCGTAATGGTTTTAGGAGTAGTACTTACTTGTGAAGTGCTTGTGAAATGTTAATCAACATATCGCAAGTCTTTCACTTGCCCATTTCTTGCAGTAGTTTCGAGATTTTTCTCATATCATCTTATATGAATAATGTTATGAATCATCTTCTAATTTTGGATTTAATGTAGTTTTCTCTAAAAATGAGAGTATAGTAGGTGGTCCATGTTTGCTTAAAGATTTGTGATAGAGGACTGCCAGAAATGCTAAATGTTATGCTCATAGCCAGCTTTGTATCTTGTTTTTACATCTTTCTCTGGAGATACATTCTGAGTCCACATTTTTTTTAGTAAGCTCCATTGATACTTTGAATTGATAGAAACTCAAAGAAAGCATGGTAGCTCCTGGACAACTGTATTTTCTGTCTGGTGACGTCACTTGTAAATCATGTTGTTGATGAGTACATTAGTAAAGTTTTAAAAAACTTGGTACATTAGACTTATGTGGCTACTAAGGAACCGGTCTTTAACAGGAAAAATCAGAACTTTTAAGGGGCAATTTATTCATCAGTACATAGACTATCTTGCGTTTTAGTTTATGTTCAATACCTCAACCCTTGGATAAAGTAGATTCTTTTAAAAGAAGAAATAAATCTGATGTTAGAAAAGTAAATGGTTTCAAAGTAATTTTTCAATTCAGAATATCCAAAATATTTTGAACATTGTTTTGGACATACCAAAACATGTTTATGATTTCTTAAAACAAGCTGCTCTATTGATCTTGTAGTACCATTCATTAAAAATTAGTTTATAAAATTAATCTAATTAAAGTTTTACAATGCTAGCAATTAAACCTATTTACAACTGATTTTCATTTTTTATTTTTTCTTAAATAGGTCCTTTCTGATGTTGCTTGAGCTTACTCTCCTGCAGTTGGTCTCATTCCTGTTGGTTACATATTAAGTCCCATGACAACATAAAGTTGATGCACACGTGTTGTAGGGCTCATAGTGAATGATACAGGGAAGAAAACTTGACTTGTACATTAAATGACCTATTCCACTTCCCATTACAACAGCACAGCTTCTACCAATGATTATTTTACAATTGCAGTCGCCGCTTTGAATACACTGCAGTAAAGAGCATAGTTGAGTTTTTGGAAAGTACAGGATCTACAAATTTGGTCAATAAAACACACACATACAGAAATACTATAATTAAGGAAGCAGGAAATTATTGGTACATAAGATGAACGGTTGTTTGAAATAGTAATTTCAAATATAATTGTTTTAATAATTTGGTTAATTTTAGATATTTTTCTATACTATTAGGTTGATAATGGTTTTTGAAGTTCATTTGGTAGAGATGATTCATTTTACTGTTTTGTGGTACCAGTGAGACTCTAATGTTAAATTGATGTATTTGGTTATATGAATGTTTGTGCCAACATTTAAATAATGAAATTTTGGACAGTTAGTTTGTACCAGATGTCAGGGGCAAATGTTTGTGCTGGTTTAATGCTTGATATAGTTTCAAAAAAGAAAAAAGAAAGAAACCGAATTTGCTGTTCTTTTTTTCCTTATATATCAGACCCAAATTTAAAGAAACTTCTTTGTTGATTAAAGAGAAATCAGAGGTTCTCTTTTTCTGTATTAAAAAGAAAAAGATAGCCAGAATGTCCTATTGTGAAATCTCCCCAGCAGTGTTGTCAGTTAAGGAGAGTCCTGATTTGATGTAACTGTTATGTTTGCACTGCAGTGATAGTAATCCACCACCATAACGGTATCACCAAGTATTTAAATGTTAGAACATTATGTTAAAACATGATTGTCTGAATGTTTGTCTCTTGAATTAAATTTGTGTCCATAAAGATGTGCAGTATAATTGTTCATATATATTTATTTACAGACTACAATTTCCGTCGCAGCTCAATAAATAGTCTTTCCCCTGTTAGCGCTACCCTCTCTTCTGGGACGCCCAGCGTGCTTCCTTATACTTCAAGGCCTTATTCTTATCCAAGTTATCCCTTGTCACCAACAATATCACTTGCTAATGGCAGCCATGTTGGACAACGACTATATATCTCCAATCAGGCCTCATTCTTCTGAAGAAAATCTGGGTACAGTAGTATAAATTTTCTTTGTATAAGGCATGAAAATTAAAGTACTGTTGTATTTTAGAATTGAGTTTGCACATTTGACTTTAAAAACAATATATTTTAACATATTAAACATTAACTGTAATTCAGAATGACAAGAGTGGTAGAATTAGCAGAGATGCACTTAAAAGTTACTCAGTGGTAGCAAACTACCACTGTTCTTTGTGAACTTTGGGACTTTCTAATTCCTAGTTTGAAAAGATTCCAGTAGTTTATGTTCTTTTTGTATAACAACTTTGTAAAGCATCATTTCATAACTATTGAAGTACTTAAAGACAGTGTTTACACTAGACTAGATTACCAAGGATCACTATCTGTAGTGGAGTTCGGAATAGTTATGTAACCAGAAGCATCTAACTATTATGTAGAAAGAAATGATGAGACAAAAAAGATTAAGATGCAAATTTTTGGCAGTCATAATGAAAAAATCAGTCAACCATTGTGGTCCTTGAAGTAACTAAATATTTTTGTTAATATTTGTTACATGAATAAATTATAATTTTGCTGTTAATAAATTTAAGGTTTTTATAGTTATATTTCATGTATGTTTTGATATTCATTGTTTTGGCAAGAAGTGTTAATGTTTTTAAATGTTGAAATCATGTGTTAATTTTTATAATTCAGAATCTTCAATATTAAATATATGTTGCTACTAATGTGTGTTTTGTTTTTTATTAGAATTTACACTCACAAATGTCTCTCATCTTTAAGAAGAGTTTTACTTGCCAGGTCAACAGTTGCAGGTTCAATGTCTTCATGAGATCAAAGGGTCAGATAATATAAAGAGATTTGTACAATAAAAGTAAAATCATTTTCAAGTGCCAATAAAAATGTTTTGTTGGTAGAATTACAGAAGTTTCCTTTGTTTACTAAAGAATAATTAACAAATTCAGATAATTTTGATTTCATCAGTTTATTAGCATGCATGATTAATTATGATCATTTTCATAGTTGATAGCAGATATTTTAGATATCATTAATATCTAAATACTGAATAATAAAAATAATAAGTGGTAGAGCCAGAGCCAGAATTTGCGTACACATAATTAAAAATAGTTCTAAATAACTTCCCTTACAGCTTAATTTGATTGTTGTAGCAGGAAGTTAGAAGAAGAGTAAATGAGTCTCAGTTTTGCAGTGCTGGAGAAGGGTTATCTCCCATAAAGCATAGCTGCTGCCTTTGAAGTCCAGTGCTTTAGATGTTGTGATTTTAAGAGAGTAGAGACACTGAATGAGCACTGCATTCATTTCACAGCCCAGCCACATACACGACACATATATGACACATGTCACATACATGACAGGCACTTGGGTGAAATCATTCAGAAAACAGGCAGTGAATGCTGACTGCTGTGTGAGTACCATGGGGTACAGGTGACTCAGATTCTAGGCCAGAAAAACAGACACATTTAGTTTTTTACAAAAAAACAAAAAACAAAAACACTTTAATACCCCAAATTATAAGTTATCACAAATTTTCTCATGGACTTTCCACTTTGGGGAACTAAAAACCACCTCAATTTAAAGAGCTTTAATCCCATAAGATTTGAAGATCCATGGTGATGTAATGGTGAGTGCATGAATTTTGGTGTCAAGTTGTACTTCTGCCAAAAACTTGTCCTTTAAACTTGAACAGGTTTTAATCTATTTGAGTCTAGCTGAAGGCCTCTCTTGAGGGTGCTAGTATGGTCCTTATAATATTGAAACTAGAACACTGGTAAGTGTAAGAAGTGGTAGTAGCTGATATTTTGGGGGTACCTTTGCACTGCTGTGGTATTTGGTTTTTTTGCATGACTTTTCTCACTTCCTCCTTCAATCACAATTGCAGCAGGCCTGAGTGTAGCATGGTTGGGTGGTGGGTGGAGCAAAGCTGCTCATCTTCACAGCTGGAGTTAAGGAGTGGTGAGGGAGGGGATGAGGATGGTAATGACTCGGTACCCAATACAGGAAAGTACTGTAGAGAAAGCTGCTGACAGTTGTATGGGTTTAGTAAAATGCTGATTTGCCAATAGTCAGTAGCAGGAAGTATAGGCAGGACAACTAGAACAGGAGAATTCTGGGAAGAGGAAAGGTTCAGTTTTCAGTCATAATACAGACAGAGAAGAAGCAAGATGAGAATGCCTCACTGATAAAAGGTACCAAGCCACATGGCTAACACAGACAAAAATTATGGGTTAATTTAAGATATAAGAGTTAAGAAGCCTGAGCTATAGGTCAGCCAGTTTATAATTAATATAAGCCTCTGTGTATTTCTTTGAGACTGAACAGCTGCGGGCAGGACAGAGTAAATTGCTGCAGGCAGATCTGATGATGGCTCAGGAGTTTCTGGGAATTTCAAAGGTCCCAACTTTGTCTCACCCATTTAAGTCCCTGGTGCAGGAGAATTGTCTGTAATCTGTCAATCATATTTTAAATAAATGCTGATTGACCTGGCAGGAAGTATAGGCGGGAAAACCAGACAGGAAGTAGAGGTGATGCAATGAAAACAGGAAAATTCTGGGAAGCAGGAAGCTCCCTTCACCATTCCTGCCCAGATCACTGAAGAAGCAACATGTGAGCTGACAGCTGAAAAAGGTACCAAGCCATATGGCTAACATAGATCAGAATAATGGGTTAATATAAACTACAAGAGTTAAGAAGAAGCCTGAGCTAATAGGCCAATCAGTTTTATAATCTTATGGAGTCCTCTGTATGATTTTCTTTGGGGTATGCTGGTTGTGGGGTGCCGGGTGGGACAGATACTCCAACAAGCCGGCCCCTCATGCTACAGATGGCGCCCAACGTGGGGCTCGAACCCATGACCCTGAGATTAAGAGTCTCATGCTCTACCAACTGAGCTAGCCGGGCCTTTAAGCCTCTGTTTCCCAGACAGGTAGACTTGAAAGAATATTATTAGGAAACCCTCTCCCACCTGTCCCCAGATGTGCAGAGGTCCAACCTTTTTCAAGCTTACCATATGTTTCTTCAAGACTAACTTCATTGGGTCTACACAGATATCCTGGTGGATCCGATCTCGGCTTCGAAAGCTGTGTTCTACTTTCTGTTGCTGTGATAGAAACTATGCCAAAGGCAACTCTGAGTACAGGATGTGAAGTCCTTTAGCCCCGACCACGAGAGGTGGTCTCCAACTCTTATCTTTAGGTTCGGCTCAGATACCAACTTCTCTAAAGTCCTCTGTGGTTGCAGGTTGGAAAGGATTTCTCACATCATTATTTGTATGTTTTCCTGTTTTCTAATCCCGAGTGAGGAATCAAGCTATGAACATGCAATCCCATATTCTCTGTGCATGGCAAAAATCATCTTACCACAAACACCCAGTTCTGATTTTTTTTTTTTTCCGAGACAGGGTTTCTCTGTAGCTTTGGAACCTGTCCTGGCACTAGCTCTCATAGACCAGGCTGTGTTGTTTTTAAAAGATTTCACTATGTAGCCCTAGCTTTCTTGGAACTCACTGAGTGGCTCAGGCTAGCCACTAACTTGGCCATCTGCCTCCCGTGTCCTGGGACAAAAGGTGTGTACCACTATACCTGGCTTGCTTGCCAAATGTTTACCTTCTATCACTGGGTACAAACCACAATGCCTAAAAATCTAGTGTTTAAGAACAATTTATTTAATCAGGAAGTGACTCAGACTTCAAGGTAAGCATTTACTATTTGGTAGACTTCAAAGCAAATTCAAGTTCCCCGGTGCTTGTGGGGCACTGTGGAGTCTGAGCAAGGGAGGATTGCAAGCTCTTTCCAAGGCCTTTTACCAAGCTGTGCATGGTGGTTCTTCCTCCTGACTTTTCTCTTTTTATCTGATTTTAATAAAATGACTTTTGGCAAGATTCTTCAACTTCAATGAAACAAGACATAAACAAGTGACATTTGAAAGAGCAGCTGTTGGAAGTGACTGAATACACGGACCTTTTCTAGTAAAAATGCATTATTGTGGAAAACTCCCATTAGTAAAGGAAAACTGATTTGTGCTAGGTGCTTAGATTTTCCTATTGCTAAGGGTAATCTTTAGGGTTCAGAATGTGCTTTTCAGAAACCCTGCAGGAGAAATAAAACCCTCACTCCACTCTACAACCCCCACCCCGTCCTATGTTCCTGCTCTCTCCACCACCTCTGTGTGCAAGGCAGCCTGTAAGGACAGCACTGGGAAATCTTTACAGAAGTTTTAGGTTTATACGGATTAAATTTCTCGACATATTATGGATTGTTGGTAATGGCATAGAGGCAGTTGTATTTTCCTAGCAGGATAAAACTCAATTTTCACTTGATTGATGTTCTTTATGGCATCCTATGCATATGGAGAGGAGGAGGCAAGTTTAGAATAAAGTGTCAGTTGCTCTGCCACATCCTAGGTCGTGTCCACATCTGGACAGCATGCATATCCACTTTCCCGGCTGCAGGGAAAGCAAAGAGGAGCTAAAGCCTGCCTATACACATTTACTTGGAAGTTGTCAGCATCTCCCAAATAATGAGGCTGAAGTTTAAAAATGCTTGTGAATCATGGTGGATAGGGGCATGTTGTTGCTGTAGTGGGGGGCTCAGAAGACACTTATTGCTGGTCTTTCTCTTCTTCCACCATGTGAGTTCTGGGAATTGAACTCATATGGTCAGATTTGGCACAAGTGCCTTTACCTATTGACCTTCTTGCTAGCCTAGGAAGCATCTTTGTTTTAACTTGTTTATGTTTCCTGTAATGCCTGGGGAGGCCAGGAGAGGGCATCAGATCCCTTGAGACTGTAGTTAGAGATTGTTGCTGCTATGTGATAACAAGCTAAACCTAGAAGGGCAGCCAGTTGTTCTCTAGAAAAGCAGCCAATGTGTTTATCCACTGAGTCATCTCTTCAGCTCCTCGGGAATTTTAAAACAAAAAAATCCCCAAACCCCTGGTGTATATTAGTTGTACAAAGTAAGATTTTCGTTAAAGTGTCACATATGTATAGTTACTTAATGATGTACTAAATGTGCTTTGTTCATATTTACCCCATTACCCGTGTTTATGTGTGCCCGTGTGTGTGTGTGTGTGTGTGTGTGTTTGGTGGAGATGCTCTTGTGTATCCTAGTCTGGCACAGAACTTCATGTGATCGAGGCTGGCTTTGGACTCTTCCTCCTCCTGCCTCTTTCCTCCTGAGTGCATATGAAGCTGCAGTCCAGCTTCCATTGTCTTTTCCTTCCCTATCTATTAGATTCTCTTTTGCTTTCATTTCCATTCCCCGCCCTAGCCCCTAGATTTCACAAAGCAAAACAAAAACAAAAGAAAAACCTGCACACAGTCATGTTTGCAAGGCTTAGTATGATGATCTTCAGCTCCAAAATTTCCCCTTAAACAGCATAAAGTTCTGTTGTGTATATACAGCACATTTTCTGCAACTACTCACCTTGTGCTGGGTTCGTAGCAGATTCCATAACAGCATCTTCATCATCAAGTGACTTTGGTTATTGTCAGTGTGGACTCAGGAAGAGCAGAGCTATATCGCATGGTAGTTCTGGTTTTAGCTTTTATTTGTGTGTGTGTGTGTGTGTGTGTGTGTGTGTAAATTTCATACTGATTTTCACAGTGGCTTGACTACTTTACAATCTACCCGTAGTATGTGAGAGTTGACTTCTCCTTTTTCTATGCCAGCTAGCATCTACTGCTTTTGATTGGTAGCCATTCTGGCTG